AAAAAAAAAAAATATTGGCAATCGCATCAAGCAAGTTGGCCATTAAATGAATTTAATCTCACCATATTAAATGCTGCAGCTAATCAGTCCACCCACTTTTCTCGCCCCCAAATTTACCTCTCTTCCTCCTTTTTTTCTCCTCTCTCAGATGGCTTTTCTCTACTCCTCCGCCACCACTCTCTGCCAATGTCCGCCGCCCCTCCCCCTCCCCCGCCGCCTCTAGCCACCGCCGCCAGATCCTCACCCACCTTATCTAAGAACCTCAGTTCCATCGGCCTCGGCTACGCAATCGCAATCGCCCTCGGCTTCCTCGTGCTCTTCTCCTCCGTCCTTCTCGCCTCCTACATATGCTGTCGCTCCGCAGCCTCGCGCCGCCGACGCCGCCGAAATCCGGATCCCGATCGACCCGGGGAGAGCAGCGTGTACCTCCCGCGGATAATCTTCGTGGCAGAGGACGATGAGGAAAACGGCGGCGGAGCCGCCGCCGTCGGCCTGGATCCGGCTGTAATCAACTCGTACCCGAAGTTCGTGTTCACGAGGAAGGGCGGCGCGTGCGACTCGGTGTGCTCGATCTGCCTGTGCGAGTACAGGGAAGGGGAGATGCTGAGGATGCTTCCCGACTGCCGGCACAGTTTCCACGTGATGTGCGTGGACGCGTGGCTGAAGCTCAACGCGTCGTGCCCGGTGTGCCGGAGCTCTCCACTGCCGACGCCGCTGTCGACGCCGCTGCAGGAGGTGGTCCCGCTGTCGCAGTACTCAGACGGGCGGAGGAGGCAGTGAGGCCACGGGGCCGATTTGGTAGTTAGGGGGGTGTGTTTTTTTGTCGGGTGCTTCTGGGGGTGGAAATGTAAATAAGTATTTTTTTTACTATATATTTCGGGTTTGATAATTGCTATTGTTATTGATATTTTTTGTTTTCCCCATAGCAAATTAATGGAAATTTTTAGTGCGGGATTGCCAGAATTTCGAGAAACTGGATTCCTTTAAGTGTTTGTTCTTGTAATCCTGATTAGAACTTCTTTTCAAAGTTTTTTTTTTTTTTATGCCAACTATTGCTTTTGATCTGCATATATATCGATTTGTACGTTATAATTTTAACAATATTCTACTCTTGAAATAATTACTTCATGATCGTTAATATAATATTACTTCATATTAAAATAATTACTAATATTTATCTATCTTTTCTCAATTAAATAAAAGAATGCTCTTGAAAAATATACATTAATGTCTGCTTGTGAGTGAAAGGGGACCGACTGGTGAACCTTTTTTCCTAAGCGCTCATGATGTGACCTTCAGGCACTGTCCACTTGATCAAATCATGGCAGATAAGACTTTAGAGGGCTAAAAGACATAATTAATCACCTAATAAAATCCATTTACAAAAAAATAACTGATTTTTGATAATTCCAAAATTATTCCATCCATTCCAAAACGTGTCAATAATAATATTATGAAAGTTAAAAAACAAATAATTAAAAGATTAAACTCATAACTAACTACTTTCTCATCCTCTTTTTTTTCTCTCTCTTTCTTGCAGGTCTACTAATTCTTCTCTTCTCTCTTCTTTCACTTTTTCTCTTTCTTCTTCAATTTTCTTCTTCTTCTTCAAATATAAATGCCTAAAGAATAAAAAAATAATTGATAAAAAAAATACACAATTATTTCAAAAGGCAGTCGATCGAGCAACCAAAAGAAAAAAGAAAAAAACATGAACTATGTATGTGAATGAGATAAAAATAAAAAAAAAAAAATAACTATTTTTGGTGCAGCAACAACAAAAAAACAACATAACAACTATCAAACTACATAAAAACAACAAGGAATAAACATAGATTGAATCAAAATTTCGGTGAACGTATATTATAAATCTCTTTGTCACATAGGCATCTAAAATAACAACAAAGCATTTTTCCCAATGTTATCAATGAAAATAGTAACATCTTTTAATGACAAATCAATATTTTAGCAACTACCCCATTACCTCCACCGCACAAGCAAGAAAAAATCATAAAAATCTCACACATAGAGAGAGCAAGAAACTGAAAGTATCAGACCTCAAAACAACAACCATACAAATTACATGAAAGAGTGTAAGTTTCAAATTCCTAAAATCGTTGTGATATTTCATAGATACACACACCTACAACGTCGATACTCCCAGAAACAAGAGTAACACCAGAAACAGGAGGGCCCTGCTATGATGATTCGTTCGAAGATGGAGTTGACCCGATCCGTTGAAGGTTTTTGCAGAAGAAGAATTCCGTTGAAATTTTTGTGACATAGATTTGGGGTTGGAAAAAATAGATTTAAGAGAAAGTGGACGTGAGAATTTGTTAGGTTAAATAAGAATAAAAATTAAAAAAAGAAAAAAAAAAATTGGGATGTAGAATTAGAATGAAAATGAAGAGAAATTAGGGAGGGGGTGGAGCTTTGTATCTGAGAGAGAGAGAGAAAAAGAAAAATTAGAGAAGAAGAAGAGGATAAAGAGGAAAAAAAAACTGAACACTATTTGAAATTTTTTTAAGAAAATAACTTTTATATAATGGTAATAAAATGGAGTAAAAATGGAATACTCCATCCGGTGTATTAATTGAGTAAAACATATTTTCAAAGAGATAAGCAGCGTCATTAATTCGACTTTAGAGAGTGTACCGAGCAACTTTTCTTCATACCTATGAAATTGTGTTCATATTATTATAAATATTTATTTATTAGGATTAGTTATAAATTATTAATACTGGTTATGTATTATTGATAGTTGTTATAATTATTGATAATTATTGATAGAAAATAATAAAATAATATATGTGAATGACTATTTTTGTCCTTGATGTAATTGTATTATTACGATTGTGCCATCAGGAGTTTTTCTATAAATAGGAGCTTCAGTTATAAAGAAAATCGTACCTAAGAAATAAAGTTTCTATATTTTCTCTTCTCTATAGTTTTTCTTCTCTGTAGTTTTATAACACGTTATCAGTACAAGTCTCTGGCCTCTAGAGCTTGATTTGTAATACGAAGAGAGTATGCTCTACAGTTGCGTCTTATAGACGATCTTCTGTATCCGAAATCATAATATTACAAATCGTTATTTCATTGGAATTATTCTTCAATGTACTTTTTTTCTCAATCATATATAATCACATATTTTTCATATTTCTTGAAATTTTAAAATGTCTGATATCACCAAGAGAGATTTTGCTGAGCTCGTTCTTGATGGAAATAATTATTTAACTTGGGCTTTTGATGTTGAAATTCATCTGGCCTCGTTCGATTTAAGTGCCACGATAGATTCTACATCTGAAAGCACTCCAGCCCAAAAGGCGAAGGCACTGATTTTTGTTCGTCACCATCTCAATAAAGATCTAAAAATGAATATCTCACTGAAAAAGAGTCTGCAAATCTTTGGAGATCCTTGAAGGATCGTTTTGACCAACAAATGGCCATAATCCTTCCTCAAGCACAATATGACTGGCTTAATCTCCACTTTCAAGATTTTAAATCTGTTATTGAATATAATTCTGCCCTCCATCGTATTGTATCACAACTTAAACTTTGTAGACAAAACATTACTGAGTTTGAGTTGCTGGAGAAAATTTTATCTACTTTTCATGTTAATAACCTTGTACTCCAGCAGCAGTACAGGGCTAAAAATTATGGAACACATTCTGAGCTAATTTATGCTCTACTAGTGGCTGAAAAACACAATCAACTGTTAATGAAAAATCATAATACTAGGCCAGTAGGTACTCAAGTTGTGCCTGAAGCACATGCTAATACTCATAAGTATAATAATAATCGAGGAAAAGGTCGAGGATATCATACCCAACCACCATGTGGTGGTAGTGGTGGTCGTGGTCGTGGCCGAGGACGTGGTCGAGGTCGTAATCTTGTCTGGACTAGAGATGAAGGACGAGGCAATGGTGTTGAGGAACCAAAAGGCCGTAGGGAAAATAATAACATAGATGCTCCACAAAACAATCAAGATAAGCAAATTTGCTATAGGTGTGGATGCAGTGGTCATTGATCGCAAACATGTCGTACTCCTCGACACCTTGTCGAAGCTTATCAAAGAATGCTAAAAGATAAGAAAGGAAAGGCTCCTCAAGGTGAAGCACATCACGCTAGTTTGTCGGAAGCAAATTTAGCAATAAATGATGATGATGAAGATTTATTAAAGCTTGAGCTAGAAGACTATGAGTCTATGATAATAATCTGTGATGCATTATATCTTAATACTGGACACTTTGTTTCATGTTTAATTTCATGTTTTTGTGGTTTGTTTGTCTTTATAAGTATGTTTTCATATGTCATGTTTTGAATAAAACTTCATGATTGTAATGTTTGATTATAAAATTGTGGTTTGTCTTTATAAGTATGTTTTCATATGTTATGCTTTGAATAAAACTTCATGATTGTAATGTTTGATTATAATATTTTTATTTTTTTTAGTGTGCCATAAACATTTAATAGTTTGCAAGTCATGGAGAAAGAGAATATTTTATGTCTGGTCGACAGTGCTACTACACACACTATTTTGAAAGATAGAAAATTTTTCCAAACCTTAAATGAAAAGAAAGGGAGTGTTACTACAATTGCTAGTGATAAAATATTGATAGTAGGCTCCGGTAGAGCTCTACTTACTCTTCCTCAGGGTATCGAATTAATAATTAATGATGCGCTTTTATACCCTGAATCACAAAGAACACTCCTTAGTTTTAAAGATATTCGAGCAAATGATTTTCATCTTGAAACTAAGACTAAAAACAATATAGAATATCTTCTTATGACTCATACACAAGGAATTCAAAAGAAAATTGTAGAAGAACTTCCCTCTTTCTCCTCAGGCTTATATTATACATACATTCGACCTTCTATTAATCATGTTGCATTAAGTTTAAAATTTAAAGACCCAAATTCATTTAAATTATGGCATGAACGATTGGATCATCCTGGGCTTAGTATGATGCGTCGGATTATTTCCAACTCTATTGGGCATAACATATCAAGCAACAATCTCCCTTCTTTTAATGAATTTATTTGTGATGCTTGTTCAAATGGAAAATTAATATTAAAACATTCACGTACTAAAGTTGAGATTGAATCTCCTATGTTTTTTTATAGGATTCATGGTGATATATGTGGACCAATTCATCCTACATCAGGACCTTTGAGATATTTTATGGTCTTGATAGATGCTTCTATTCGATGGTCATATGTGTGTTTAATATCCACTAGAAATCAGGATTTTCCTAAACTACTCGCTAAAATTATTGAATTAAGAGCTCAATTTCCTGATTATCAAATTAAAACTATTCGAATGGATAATGCCGGCGAATTTACATCGAAAGCTTTTGATGATTATTGTATGTCATTAGACATCAAAGTGGAGCATCCGGTACCTTATGTTCACACACAAAATGGTCTAGCCGAATCACTAATTAAGCGCATTAAATTAATTGCTACAAAATTCCAACTTACCAATTTCATGTTGGGGACATGCAATTTTACATGCTGCTGCCATAACTCAAATCTGACCTACTGCATATCATGATTACTCCCCTATACAATTAGTGCGTGGTAATGAACCTAACATTCCCATCTGCGAGTTTTTGGTTGTGCAGTGTATGTTCCTATATCACCACCACAGCGTAAATCTATGGGTCCTCATAGAAAGCTAGGTATATATATTGGTTATGAATCTCCGTCTATTATCAAATACCTTGAGCCTATGACTGGGGATCAACTTACAGCTAGATACGCTGACTGTATATTTTGATGAAGAAAATTTCCCGGCATTAGGGGGAGATAAAAGCCCAAACTTAAATAAATGCTGAGAAATTTCTTGAAATGCACAAAATCTACAATATTTAGATCCGTGCACTAATCAAACTGAACTTGTAGTTCAAAAGATAATTAATTTGCAATATTTAGCAAATAATTTGCCAGATGCATTCACTGATCATAGAAAAGTGACAAAATCATATGTACCTTATATAAATGCACCACAACGAGTGGAAGTCCCCATGAAATCTAATATTCCTACAAATACTCCATGCCAGAAGCGTGGGAGACCCGTTGGTGCGAAAGACCATAATCCGCGGAAAGTAAAATCTAACAAATCACTCCTTGAATCTCCAGAAGAGAATCGTCCAGAAGACGAAAATCCTAGTTTAAATGCACGTGCAACAAATAATAAATTTGAATTAGGGCATTGCTTGTACTGTGAATTTGATGTTTTTGTTTGATTATTTATCTGCGATGATTCATTTTCACCATCTCTGTATTTTTTTCCAGCTTATGAATTGGTAATGCTAATCTGTCACTAGTTAACTTGTCAATTCCTTAATATTGTTGTGCTTAGAAAATTGATAACACATAAATATTTGTATGTTGCAATTTATCTTGTTATCGCTCTCGCAGGCCGGTAATACAGCGTATCGAGAAATGGGAGGAGGAGGCAGAGCGTGCATTAAGCTACTACAACAAGAAACATGTTATTAATTTTTCATCCCACTCGTATTATATCGTTTCCCCTGTAATTGGAACTTTGCAGTTTTGTTCGATACTTAATTATATATCTATATCTATATATATATACTAGTTGGCCTTCCGGCTGTGCACGCACAGCCGACTCTAGTCCAGTGTATAATTATAACTAATATTTAAGGAAATTTAAAATACACAAACACACCTTTTATTAATACTGATAATATGTGGTTTAACGTTGCATTGTGTTACAACTGTTTTGTTGTTGAACCAACCTATCTTGATGAAAAAATGTGACAACTGTGATAACTTGTGAAATAGATTGGCTAATAGAACATTATTCACCATTGGCAATTGTCACCAAAAATAGCATAGAATTGCTTAAAATAATTTTGTTCCAAAATAAACCCAAAGAGTTGATCATCTGCATAATAGTCTGACACATGAGGCCCCTACACACTAAGCTGCTTAGACGAAAAAAATTATCATTCATCATGGATGGGAACAAAGGATCATTGGGAGAAGACTTGGAAAAATACTGACCATAGCAAAATTAGCAGAACTCCTATGTTAGTGTTGTAGTGACTGTCTACAGGTGTCTGACACGGGCTGAGATTGATTGTCTTCATTAAGAACATGCTATAAATTCTCAGATAAGCTTTCTCAACCCCATCACCTGCATACACAGTACCACAACTAAAATGAAGCACAAAAAATTGTATCTTGGAGGCATTACCCGTGAATCGTGGGAAATATACGGGGCTATTCCATCTTAAAGAGAGCGTATCTTACGTGCCTCGACTTTGTTCGTTTTACCAAAATTCATTCAATTTCTTAAAGCCATTTTTTTTTAAAATTCACATACTAAATATAAACTACATATATAAATGTAATTATTAAAAATATTTGATGTAAAATTAAGATAGATGTGAGTGAACGAATAAGGAACTAAACTTGATGTATGTGATGTGTTTGGATAATTGATGGATATTATTTAAATATATTAGTAATATTGGAAAAATTGTATTGAGTTAAATTTGAATTAATTTTTTTAATTATTCAATCAAATCTTGAATGATATAGATAAAACTTCATAAAATTAATAAAATATATTCCAATATAAAGAGACTACGTATCTAATTGGATCTAAGATAGACTTAAGGTAAACCGGGTTGCTTTTTATTAATATACTTACACTTTGCCTTGGAGTATATTTGTTTAGAATGATCTATTCCACGCCTCAATTCAAATTGGAAGATTATTTCAAAAGGGGGTGTCTATATGTACACCCCCTCAAGTGTAAAAAAGGGGTGTACATATAGCACTTTTCTTTGTGTAATTTATTAAAAGGGGGTGTACATATAGCATTGCCTTTTCAAAAATCAGGCGAACCGAGCTCCGAACCTCAGGGTTAGTTCCACTTTCGTACATAAAACACCCACACTCGCAGCCCCTCCCACGCATTTTCCCTTTCGCTCTTTTGCCCTTTTCTTAGCCGAGAAGCCTATTTTTCAAATTCATTCATTCTAACAGTTTGATTTTGCCTTTTTGAGTCTTTTGGATTTTGATTCGGCTATAATACCAGATATGGCGGAGCAGGAGGAGATCTCAGATCCGAAGGAGTCGCTGGTCGATAAAATATCAGATAAGCTTCACGGCAGTAGCGATTCGTCGTCGTCGTCGTCGGACTCGGATTCCGAGTCTCAGAAGGAACCGGCGCCGCCGTCGCCTTCGTCGGTCAAGGAGAAGATATACAGGTTGTTCGGCCGGGACAAGCCGGTTCATAAAGCTTTTGGCGGAGGCAAACGTAAGTAATCGCGCGCCGAAGACATTAACTCTCATGCTTTATAGTGTCTGGTTATTATTGCCGCTTTCCATTCGAATTCTAAGTTTTCTGGTGAGGAGTATTATTGTGTTCATTTTTGTGGAGCTGATGAGTTTTGTTTTGTTGTTATTTGAGCATATGCAGAGCATAATTTCTGTTCGTGTGAATTTGGCGGTTTTGTGGGTAGAACCGTGTTTCTGTTTGTGTTGATGACTTTGAGTTTTGAATATATTATTTTGTGAACAAGTGTGATGCTTAATGTTGTTTGATTTGAATACTTTGGGTTTATATGGAGTTAAAGAGCCTGACAGCTGCTGTGGTGAATTAATTTTGTAGCTGCTGATATATTCTTGTGGAGGAACAAGAAAATATCTGACGTTAACTGTGAACAAGTGCCACGTTTGATGTAGTTAGAGTTGAACACTTTGCTTCGTATGGAGTTGATGAGTTTGACAGTTGCTTTGGTGAAATTCATATTTGTAGCTGCTAATGAATTATTGTAAAGGAACAAGAAAATTTTTCATGTTATTTCACTGTTAATTCACTAGTGCAACGCTTGATGTCCCCGACCTCACGAGTTGAACATTTTGCTTTATATGGAGTTAATGAGCTTTGACAGTTTTTTCTATGGTGAATTATTTTGTTAGCTGCTGATGTATTCTTATGGAGGAACAAGAAAATATCTGCCTCAGTGCTTGGTGTGGCCACTGCAGTTTGGGTCCTGTTTGAGTTGCTCGAGTATCATCTTCTTACTCTGGTCTGTCACATTGTAATCCTTGCTCTATCCTTATTGTTCTTGTGGTCAAACGTGACAACTTTCATCAACCGGTGAGTTTTATCTGATAGTTTTTTCACATCAGTGTTTTCGATGATTGAGGAATTGATTATTTACTAATTAATAGTTATGTTACTTCAATCATTGTCTCCTCTGTGCCTTGCAGAAAACCTCCTCAAATTCCGGAAGTTCGGCTCCCAGCAGAACCATTTGCTGAGGTTGCATCTGCCCTTCGTGTTGAGATTAATCGTGCTCTTGCTGTGTTGAGGGAAATCGCATCCGGCCGGGATCTGAAGAAGTTTCTTCTGGTAATTGATCTATCACATACAGAAACTTGTGCCTCTGTGAATATTTATCAGCTGTTTACACTTTCTATGCCTTACTTCCTCTTTGCCAGTGGGTTTGCCAATGTGTGTATAACTGGTGTGTTTTCAAACTAAATATATTTAGCCACCAGTTCTCTGGGGTTTGGGGTTCGTAAATGGCCTTTGACATGTATCTCCTATATTCACAATGTATAAGTAGTACGAGTAGGATTTATTTTCGTGATATATTACGCAAGTGTGGTGTTCAAATTAAATTCTCTTTCGTTTTGAATCTGTTTTGGATGTGCTCTCTTTGATTTGACATCTCTTGTAGTAGAACACTATTGGTACAATGCTGGAGTGAATTTGTGTTATGCTAGCCATTTTCTGGCTTCTCATTGGTAACATGTAGGGGATTGACTGCTGCATACTACTTTATTTTATTGCAAACTGCAATTGATATTGTGAACTTCTGATTTATTTCAGGTTGTTTTTGGCCTTTGGGTACTTTCGATAGTGGGCAGCTTCTGCAACTTCTTGACACTGTTTTACATAGGTAAACTAACCTTTTGGCTTTTGTACACTAGGTCTAGGGTTAAACTAGCAAAGTTGAGTGGAGCATTGGCCTTAACAAGCTACGCTCGATTTTTTTTTTTTTTTTTTTAATGTTGAGCTCAAGCTCGATGAGCGAACATTTTTAGTCTCAGCTTAGATCGGCTCGAATTTTGCTTTAGTTCGGCTCGCAATTTCAATAAAAAAATGTTCTTATGTTATTTTACATATATTTGATCGGCTTGTCGAGCACTCGAGCGTAAGCTCGATGCTTTATGGTTTTGTTTGTGACACGTGTTACATTTTTTCTCCCATCTTATTTCAGTGTTTGTGTTGCTGCACACTGTACCCGTCTTGTATGAGAAGTATGACGACAAGATTGATGCCTTTGCTGAAAAAGCAAGTATCGAGATCAAGAAGCAGTATGCAGTGTTTGATGGCAAGGTCCTTAGCAAGATACCAAGGGGCCCATTGGATAAGAAGCGGGCTTAAATCTTACTGAATGTATGTTTTTTTTTTTTTTCATGTTTATCAGTGGTAACTTAAATCTCTGTATTTGAAGTCATGACTTGAAACATATGGTCTTGGCACTTTATGTATTTATTTGCCAGCAAGATTGGGAGTATTATTAGCTTGTTATCATGCTTTTGGATATCTGTTGTGTTTTAGATTATCTTATAGGTAGGGGGGTTCAAAGCTTAAAATCGTTTTGTCAACTGTTTCAACTTTATTAAGAAAAAATACCAAGGTTCGATTGTAGAATTGTGCCATGGCTGCTTGGCCTCCGGCCGAGATGGAATATAAAGATAGCTTTATAATGAATCTGTGTTCCTTTTCATATTAATGCACAGTTATAGCATGTGGATTCATTTTTCATTCCCTCATATCCTGAAATGAGGAAGGAATCATTTCATATATTTGTTCAGGCTCTTTGGGGCCGATATGAATCAGATATTCATACCCGTCACCAATAATTTGATCACAATGGGCCTGCATATAAAACAGCTCGTTGTATTATAACATGTCGGCGTCATGAATATAGCAAGTGGTGGCCATTTGGCGGCCCGACGAGTGGTGGGCTTGAAAACAGTTACCCGGAACCGATCTTAGGCTATGTTTGGTAAAATTAGTTGATATACTAGCTTAAAACTTATCAGTAATTTTCAAGCTTATGGCTATGTTTGGTAAAACTAGTTGATAAGCTATCTGTTAGTTGATAAACTAACTTATAGCTTATATTTAATTTTTGAGCTTATAACTTATAGCTTATGAGTTATAGCTGAAAAACTAGCTTATATGATAAAAGTGTTTGGTAAATTAGCTGATAAGCTAGCTGAAATATAAAAATTCAACTAGCTTATTTGAAAAGCTACCTAAAGTAGCTTATGGGATAAGCTCGAGCTTTTTAAAAAAGTTCGTCATACCAAACAAGGCTTATTTTAATATAGGGAGCTTATAAGCTAACCAAATAAACTATAAGCTAGCTTATTTGGCTTACCAAACATACTCTATAGTTTATAGCTTATGACTTATAGCTGAAACGCTAGCTTATATGACAAAAGTGTTTGGTAAAATTAGCTGATAAGCTAGCTGGAATAAAAAAAATGAACTAGTTTATTTGAAAAGCTACCTAAAGAAGCTTATCCAATAAGCTCGAGCTTTTTAAAAAAGATCGTCCTACCAAACAAGGCTTATTTGAATACAGAGAGCTTATAAGCCAACCAAATAAGCTATAAGATAGCTTATTTGTTTACCAAACATTGCCTTAGTCTTAATAGGAACATCTTTCTTGCTAGGGATGTAAGTACGGGCCGGTTCAAAAAAAAAAATAAAAATTGAAATGCGGTCTGGCCCTACCTCTAAGGCCAGTTCTGCGGCACGCCAAGTCACAAAATTTATGCAGGAGGTCCGGAACTAGCCCGGTCAAACTACGGGCTCAGGTCCGGGCCCGCTGCCCACAGGCTGGTTCAGAGTTGGGTCAGGGCCTGTTCAGGTCGAACCGACAGGCCGGGCAAAACCGTGGCCATGACTAGTAATGGCATATAAGCTAGCACGTGAATGCAACTGATAAATCTGTAACAATAATCCTCAGGCACATCATGGTCATTTCTAAAAAGCTTATACTTAAAGATATAGTGGAAAAGTTATATGCTGAACCCTAACCTGTGAACAAAAAATGGAAGTTCACTACCATCCTATTTAACCTCTTAATGCTTTGCCCAAGAGTTAAAAAAAATTCCACCCCTAAGCCCGAGTTTAGACATAAATTATTAAGGCACCATGTCCTTCAGAAAAAATCTCTTGATAGGTTACAATACAAACATTACACAAGAGCCCAGGCGTGTGCTCAATCACAGGATTAGAGGTCGTTATAGAGATTAACATGTTTAGTGGGCAGCCTAATGTATAAAAAATAAGTTCAACAAAGGTCGAGCTAAGAAATTACACCTTTAACTGATTTCTGAGCTAGCAGATTCTTCTTTCGCGAAATATAACTCCATCATACGTTTCTGAAAATGCAAATATAAACGGAAATGTAGCTTGCCTTCATTATACCAAAACCAAACAGAAGTTTACCTTAGCTTCAATTTCGGCATAATACTGTCGGAGTGCAGTTTTCAGATTCAAAATTTCCGTGTTCTTGGCATCTATTGTGCTCAAATAGCTGGCCAATTTTCTACCAGATCGTATATGGCTTCTTTAGCCATATTAGCTCAGTAATGTTGGACATTTTTATTTCTTCATGACTACTAATGGCCTGCTTAAGGGCTTTCTCCAGACGTGATATTTGAACTCTTTGGTGTTATGGTCAACCTGTCTAGTGGAGATAGAGGTTACCAAACATTTTCCCAATAAATGTTGTTTGAGACGATTTAGTTCATGCAACGCTTTGTACCTCTCTCGGGATGTTTCCTTCAAATCATTCTGCAGCTTATGTAAAGGTTGCTGCATTTCCTGTTTCCATGGTGATTCCTGCAGAGATCCAACTTTCAGAGTAAAGTGGAGACGTAAATTGAGAAGTATGATTTGCATAAGACATGAGAATAATGAGATGCTTAAACGTTTATAGAAAGAAGTTAGGTAAGGGACGAAGTTGAAAATAATAAACTGAAATAAATTATCTACACACGTCATAAAAAATGCAAATCCTACCTCACTCATCTGACTTGCATGCTTATTTGAAGGATCAACATTAGCAGGTGTGCCTTTGCGAACTGGATAAGATGGAATAGCTTTTAAGGCACCCTCAAGTTCATCATTTTTCTTTCTAACATGAAAAAAAAGGGTAAGGTTCAACGTTCGTAAAATATTTTTGTGGAAATACACACAAGCAAGTAGGAGAAAACACAATGCATAATGATTTCAAAGGAAAGGCAAGGTTCTGACCTTAATTTTTTTGTTTTCATCCTCTAAGGTAGCAATTAACTTCTTCAAGTTAACTATAGTGCCACCTGTTTCTTCTGTGCCTCTTCTGTGTAACTCATTTTGCAACCTCCCTATCTCTGACACCTTCTGGTTTAGGTCGTCACATGTTTTCTGCATCTCTACCAAAATCTGGAAAGAGAAAAAAGAACAGTAAAGCCAGTCCATTAATGATGCACGGGCATTAATGACAGTGACATTCTTGGAATACGTGGAATGTATACAGGCTGAACAGAAGGTACTAACAAGTGCTATTTTGACAACAATGGATCAATCCATTGTTAACGGCTTCACAGACAGCAGTTACTGAGAAGCTATCTATGATCTTATTCACAGACAGCAGTTAGTGAGAAAATGAATTAACTCACATGCAACGGCACAACCATTTCATTGGTTCTTAGCACACTAACCAAGTTTTTTTCTTAAAAAAGAGATCGATAGTGTTCCCACTTCCCCTCCTTGGTTCTCTAGCACACTACCCAAGTTAACAATTCATAACTTAGTAAGTGAAAAAAAAAAAATGATAATTCTTATCCAAAACTGAACTTCAGAAAATAACATAAACATGCCAGACATTAAGTGAAGGGGAGAACGACTTCAATGGAAAAGAAAGTTTTGAGGGCTTAAAAGTCTTTCATACCTTTTCCATTATTTGAAGTTGTTCCATTGCTTAATTCATCATGTTTAGGAATGATTCCGTTGTATAATTGACTTCCAGTAGTACGTACTTTTGCTGCAAATATATATTAGGCCTAGGACAAATATTGACACTCCCCTGAAATAGGTAAAAGATAAAACTAGCCACTAACTCATATAGGAGGTAAATGGTGTTATAACACCAAAAAACGAGGACAAATTATGATTAGTTAGTTCTTATTATATGGAGTTAAGGTTTCCGGGATTATTTTTGCTAATAATGTACAATTTAAGGTGTGGGAATCTCGTCCCCATACTGTCTTGTGAATAAATCGCTGCGTAGCTCTCTTTCAATGAGACAAAACAAGGAAATGAGATGCTCCAACACAAAACAAGTCAGGGAAAACACTTTGTAGCAGCATTGATTTTGCAATGAAGCCTACAAAAATGACGTCCAACCATTAAGAGTTGTGCTGCCTCCCACAAGTTAGACTTGAAATGATTTGAGGCTGCCCATCAGTTTTCAAACAAGTCAGCACAAGTACATGCTCATTTAACATTTTAAGGTTCGAATAAATAAAAAAATACAACTAATTACCAAAAATCAAATAAATGAGGATCTGTCACAACCAGATCCTTTAATCATGATAAATACCTTAGGTACAGCTGTAGCTGGCATTGAGAGCAGCATTTGTGGTGAGAAAATTTCGTCTCAATGAGCCAGTTTCTTAGTCATTCCTGTCATTAAAATGGAGGATCAAACTACCAAAGTAACTGGATATGAGTCACATAAAACATGAATCTCACACATAAATAGAAGTTCACATCAGTCACGTGAATCTCCAACCAGAGTGGACTAGTAAGTAAAATGGAGCTAATTTGTAATTCTATCTACCAATCTCAGATGGGATACTATATTCTGATTGTAATAGCATCTAGGGTTCAGGACCAGTTGTCGTTAGGTAAGGTAACTGGTTCAAAGAACTTATAATTAGAAGCCCGACTATTAAAAAAAAATTCAGGCATCTACTTGATCAAAGAAACAATTCAGCCACTTCAGCTGTGTGTGTGTTTTTCTGATCAGTACTGCAGCTATGTGTTTTAACTTTCAAGTTAGTGGTTTAATAGAACAATATTGGAGTGAGGAATGTAGCATCTTCGAGTTACAACATCCCAGTATGACTGAAGCGATTTAACACGAAAACATTCTTCTAATAGTTAATAATGCACCATAAAGATTATCCACATCCGGGGAAAAAGAAAAATACTGCATAGCTGCATAGGCAACAGCAGTCTATTAGCATATAAAGTCATAAATGGCAACAATATACAGATATCAATCACTTTATGGATGAAACAAGTAGGTAAGGCAGAAGTGTTCGGCAAAATAAAATGACCTCTTTCTCCTTCAACAAAGCAGTATAATTAACTGA